TATATATATATATCTTTCATTATAAACTAAAATTTGTGTAAACCATAAAAACTATTTCTTCTCTGGGTTTTTTGTTTTGTTTTATTTTTGCCATAGGTCATGTGCACTCACCTGGAGAGACAGAGAAAGGGGGAAACTGAGAAATCAACCCCCAGGAGAGACAGACACACTGAAATCTGTTCTCCCCCATTCTTCTCTTAGGATTTTGGACACGCACGCACATGCACTCAGCGTGATTTTCAAGCCTGTGGATCTGGGACTCAAACCATGGTCAGCCATTTTACAGTCCAGCATCTTAATCACTATGGACATGTTTAGTTACATCTCAAGTTTAAAATAGCCCCCTTTTAGGACCAGTAGGTGGCATAGTTAAGACACTGAACTCCCATATGGCTGACCATGGTTTGCGTCCTAGATGGAGAGGCTTAAAACTCATGCCAGGTATGGGTGTGTGCATACCCAAGATCCCAAGGGGAGAATGGAGGAGAAGGGATTGTGGCATGGCCATCCCCCCTGGGGGTGATTTCTTGCTTTCTGTCTCTCTGTCTCTTTCTGTCTGTCTGGCAAATGCATGCACTCTATAGCAAAAATCTCTCTTTAAAAACAAAAGTATAAGTATAGATATATATACTTATATATATATATACACACACACACACACACATATATATCCCCCCTTCTAACACACCTTTTTTTTTTTTTTTTTGAGAGGGTTTTTCTATAGTGGTGTTGCTATAGGGTGTGTGCACTCACCAGAAATACAGAGAGAGACAGAGAGGCAGAAAGCAGGAAATCACCCCCCAGGGGGGATGGCCATGCCACAATTCCTTCTCCTCCACTCTTCTCTCTGGATCTTGGCACACACGCACATGTGCCTGGCATGAGTTTAAGCTATTGGGTCCAGGACTTGAACTGCGGTCGACTACATGGGAGCCCAGCAACATAGCCTTTATGCCAACTGCTGGTCCCTCTAACATGCTTTTTAGGTAAGATGTATGTACCTTCTACTGTGGTCATGATCCATTTGTATTCAGTGGTGAAAGCTCTAGGTATTACTGAGAACACAATAAAATGGCAGAGAATATAAGCTGACCACTGAAGATGGCATTGCCAGCAGAGGCAAGGCCTCCCCGAGGACAGTGAGTCTGTGAGGAGTTCCAGGACCAGCAGAAAGGTGCCATAGAGGATCATGAAGAGCTTCCAAGACAGAAGAGACATGGTAGTCCTGCCCATCCGCCCCATAAAAAGGAGACAATAAAAAGGAGTTTTCTCAAGAAAGGAAGCCTGTACCCCTGCCTTGACAAGGCATCTGCTCACACGTCCTCCTTAGCGGGATGTAGCCGCTAGACGCCAACAACTGTTTCTGAAGGCTTTTCTCCAAATGCATGAGGCCGTCTCCGAAGTCTGACTGAACTTGCCCCTCAAACTATGCACTCAGTGCTCAGAAGTTTGACAAGATCAAATAACCAGAACTATTTAAACATCCTACTTTGGATAACACCTTCCCAGACAGCTAACAATTCTAGCTTGTTTAGACGCCTCTCTCCCCGACCCCTGACCCTCGCTATACACACACTGGAAGCCAAGAAAAGTCATCTCTCTCCTTAAGCCACCCTTCCTGACCATTTGAACGCCAAGTTGACTTACAGTCAACTTCTAGGTTTGGGATTGTTACCTTCTTCTTTAATCCCACAGCAGCTGCCTCTCAGTGGTCAAGCTAAATCCATTTAGCTCATGTCTGACTTGTGGATCTCCTGGGGTAGAAAAATTTTCTTAAATAATTTCCATTCTTTAGAAAAACCGGTAATAATGAGAAAAACTAATGGGCATTCATAAGCTGTTATAAGACACAATTCCTAGCCTATGCATTATTCATTTATGCAAACTGTTGTAAAAGGTACCGAATTCACTGTGCAACTGGGCTGGAAAAGTCCCTGAACTCAAAATTACATTGGTATGCACATTTCTGAGGCTTGGTTCTGTTTAACATTTTCATCAGTGACCTGCTTAAAGGAGCAGGGAGCAAGCTCATTAAGTTCCTAGACGGGAGGGATGACCAGAACATTAGAGAACGGTACTAGAATTTCCCCAGCCCTTGCCAAATTAGCAAAACTGTCAGAGTCAAATATGTTCACCAGGGACAGGCAGAGAAAAGTAACCTGCCCAAATGCAAACCGAGTAGCGGGAAGTTATTTAGGAGAAGAACTGAAAAGAATGTAGATGCAAAAATAGATTCATAGTGGGAAATGAATTGACTCAGTGAAATCACTGCTATTCCTTGGAGCCACTGCACCTTTTTAAAATGGAATCGGATCCCCACTCTATGGATCACAGAAACATAAGCCCTCCCCAAGATTTCTAAGAATACCAGGGAGCTTCGCTTTCTCATGGGTACCACTTAATTAGCCTGGTTTTTGGACCATTTCGCTGTCCTGTTTTAGTCACTTTATTACAGTCCATGTTGACCCAAACATTAAAAATCATTTCCCTTCCATGAGCAGACCACGACCTCCTGCAGAAGGGCCTCTCTATCTCCTTGGTTGTTTTGGCTCTCGTTCAACCCTTCCAATTAAACTTCTACCACAAGTAGCTTAACAAGGTATTTTCCTAAATATAGACAGTTCTCTTTCTAAGATTCCTCTTAGAAGGTCCCAGGTTCCTCCGGGACCAGCTGTTAAGACGGCCACATTTACACCTGCATCACCCAACAAAGGTGAGCATAGCAAGTTCATGAGCTGATTTGCTTTAGCCAGGGCTGGTACATTTTTTCAGTGAAATGGCAGATAATAAATATTTTCAATTTTTTGTTGCAACAATTCAAATGTAATGCTGTAGTATGAAAGCATTCATAGACAATCTGTTAATGAATGGGTAAGGCTGAATCTGGCCATGGGATGGGCCATAGTGTACCGGCCTCTTCTAGATTCATCTCAGGATCTTTGACTTTTAGGGAGTCTTTTTTTTTTTGGTGGGGGATAGAGGTTTTTGCTATAGGGCAAGTGCACTCGCCAGAAAGACAGAGACCGAGAGACAGAAAGCGAGAAATCACCCCTCAGGGAGGATGGCCATGCCACAATCCCTTCTCCCCCAGTCTCCTCTCGGGATCTTGAGCACGCACGCACACGTGCCTGGCATGAGTTTAAGCCACTGGATCCAGGACTCCAACTGCAGTCAATTACATGAGAGTCCAGCGACATAGCCATTATGCCAACTGCTAGTCCCGACTTTTAGGGAGTCTTAAGAACCAATTCATTTTATACCTGAAGAAACTGGGATCTGGAAAAAAAGAAGGAAATTTATGCACGTTCACAAGATAATTAAACCTGGGTTAAGACCTCAAATTAGAAACAGATACCCCAATTCCTAGGCCAGCACCCTTTCCATTGCACATCACTGGGCTATTTTCAGAAGGTTCTGAGAATCCCTGCTTAATTGACAGAGCCTTTTCAAGAACTGTTCCCACTATGACTTTTGGTGTGATGCATCAGTTATATTACGTGTAATACTCAGAAGTATCATCTTGCAGCACTCCTAAGAGGACCAAAGATGAATGTGTAACTAAAGATTTGGGTAAGGTTGCCTCTGTCCCCCAAGAGGCAGTCTTTGAGGAAACCAGAACACAACCCCAGAAGAGGTTAGAAAGGAAGATTATGCACAAAATTCAAAGGACATAGTTTTATTTAGTTTAAATAAAGTTAAAGGTGACATAAAATGTTCATGTACCAAGATGAATGGTTTAAGGAAGGGCACTTGTTTTCCATTTCCTATTAAAATTAAAAGAGCAGAGGCCAGCAGGTGGTGTGGTGGTTAAGGTGCTGGACTCCCACAGGGTGGTCCATGGTTCAAGTCCCAGACCTGGCAACTTGAAACTCATGTTGGATATGTGTGCATGTGTGCCCAACATCTCAGGAGGAGAATGGAGAAGAAGGGACTGTGTATAGCCATCCCCCCGGGGGGTGATTTCTCACCTTTCTTCTCTCTCTCTCTCCAGCGAGTGCATGTACACCATTGCAAACAAACAAACAAAAACAAACAAACAAACCGAACAGACTGGGGTGTAGGCTAGATCACAAAAAGAACCTGGCAAAGGAAACTCTCTTCCTTCTGAGAATTGCAAGCCAGCCAGAGGAAGTTGTAGAATTCCTTTAATAATCCGGTCTGCGAGTTCATCTTCTAGGGAGTTTAACACTCCCTCTAGAGAGGAAAATAGACAGAGGTAGTGACTCTGAAAATCCTCTCTCTCTTTAAGTCCCCTGAAAGTTGCAGGAAAGAATCCTTCTCTGAGCCAATGGGGACACACTGACTCTCTCCACTTAATGGGAACAGGACAGTTTAAGAGGATTGTGAAGTTCAGAACACCATGTGGATACTTGTATTAGGAAAAAAATAATTGCCCAGATCTCAAAGGAGCCTCCTAAATAACAGTCCCTCCCATTAGCAGGCATTTGAGGCAGCTCTTGAAAGACCCTCCGTTTAGGGTGAGAAGCTTTTGTCCCGTTCCTAATGTTCGCATGTGGGCATGCTTGATGCCTCAATGTCAGCAGAGGCCAAGAGGCTCTCATCGTGGAGGGTGCTGGTCTGTAACTGAAGGCCTGCTAACCTGGGCCTATTCTTCTTTGAAAGCCAGAGCCAAATATTTATGAGAATCCTTATTTTACTACCTTTGATAAAGACAAATCATAGTGTACATCTTGTTACTGAGAAAAAAAATGGTACAATCTGTTCAAATATCATTTCTGGATAGTACATTTCATGAACCTATCCCAGAAGATGATTTGTCTCAAACCACATCTTTCCCAAAGTCCATTTTTTTCCCCAAATGACAAACTCCTTGTGATTATTATTTTTCATTATTCTAATTTTTTTCCAGATGATCCAGGAACCTGTACTTCGTGCGCTACGGGGTATTACATGTAAGTCTGGCCTTCGTTTTCATGGCACTAACTTTTCTGCAGTTTAAGCATGACTGACTTAATCCTAAATCCCGTGATTAAAGCAAAGAGGCCCTTCAGCCTGAAGCAACTCTGTCCTGTCAGGCTATTAATGAGCAATTCTTGGATTTAGCAATAAGAGCCCAGCTGTTTTCTTGCCTCGAAAGGAGGCCTTCTCTTTCTTAATCCTGGAAGTCATCCAGCCTGACACTGTGTCTAGGAATCCTGCCATGGGTTACCAAGATTCAGCCTTCACTGTTTATGGACAGACCTTAATAATATACCTGACCCCAAGTAAGCTGTTTGCAAATGTCTGCATGAGACCTGTCCTTAACCAGAGTCAGCCGCTCAAGGCTCAAGGCTGCAGCCGGGTGCTACGTCCTTCTTAATCGCCTGTGGGTAAGGAACGCTGCAGGACACTAGGTTCACTGGAGCACAGAGGCCATCACCTCCAACATTCTCTAACAAACACCTACAAAATCAAACACAGTATGGTTCCATATCACCTCCGCTTTCTATTCCAGTCCCCCTTCCAGAGTACATTGCTGTCTATTTTGGAAGAAAAGAAGAGAGACGAAAAGGAAGGGGAAGTTCCCTGGTAAAGCTCAGGCTGCATAATTCCTTCCTGCCATCCTAAAACTGAGCAGTTCCGAGATGCACACTCTCACATTCACTTCTTTTCATCTTTTCGTGAAGATCATCTGGGGCACAAGGCCCATGTTAGCCTCCAGAAGAGGAAACGCAAGTTTAGAGAGGCGTGTCGGGTTCCCCTCCAGTTGCACCACAGTGACAGACGGGTCTAGACCTGGCTCATCTCAGCTGTGGTGGGTCACCTTCTCCTGTCACCACATTGCCTTCCCTTCATCTGATTCCAGGGGCTCGAAATGTGGCAGAAGATGGGGAACAGCAAAAGAGGTTGAGAGAATGGAAGGGAAAAAGAAGCCCAACCAACTGAAACATGTTGAAAACAATCAGCTAGGGGCTGGCAGGCAGTGTGGTGGTTGAGGCACTGGGCTCCCACAGGTCCAACGACAGTTCAAGTCCAGGGCCTGGAAGTTTGTTCTCTCTCTCTCTCTCTCTCTCTCTCCACAAAACTCTCTCAAGAAACAGAACTATGTTAAGTCTCAACAAGATATTCCTGAAAATGAGACTCCCTTGGAAACCAGCAGTTGGCATAATGGCTATGTTGCTGGACTCCCACATAGTCAACCGCAGTTCACATCCCAAACCCGGTGGCTTAAAACTCACGCTGTGCGCGTGTACGTGCGTGCCCAAGATCCCGAGAGGAGAATGGAGGAGGAGGGATTGCAGCATGACCATCCCTCCTGGGGGGTGTCCCTTGCTCCCTCCCGCCCTCCCTCTTTCTCTCTCTGGTCAAATTAAAAAACAGCAATAATAAATAAATAATTTACTAAATAATTTTTTAAAATTAGTTAAGTTAGCCTTATGCTTTTAATGTTTCCAGAGTACCCTGTCACCTTCCCTATGTTGACTGTATCTCATATAACTGCTCTCCTGACCCACTAATTTAAACTAGTGCTACATTTTAACAGGGGAGGAAGGGTGAAGGATAGGCCCAGGTTTGATTATTATGAGGTAAACCATAATGACATTTAATGAGAAGAAAGTAATTTGTCAGCGTTCATAGTTGACATTTACCTTCATATGGCCTGCTCCAGGATCCATAAGCAGAAATGAATATCAGAAATGCAAGCCTTCCTGGTGAGGTCACATGGTGAGAAGTATGAGATGTTCCTTGAGGAAATGAGGAAGGGAAGCTTAGACACAAATAAATAATGGCCATTGGGCTGGCCCTGGGGCTTAGTGCTTAAGGGACCTGGATCTAACTGGCTGACAGCCTGGTTTGAATCTCATCCCCAGTGACTTGAAAACTCACGTGCATACATGACAAAATCCTGACAGGACAGAAAATTGGAGGAAAAGGGATTAATCACCATCTGACAATATCCCATTGTGAGGTGCTTTCTCCCTCTCTCTGTCTCTGTCTCTGTTTCTCTCTGGCAAGCTCATACACCCTCTGGCAATTTTTTTAAAATTAGTGTTCATGTAGAAAGTGGGTGAGAAATTTTCTTTCTTCCTCCAGCCTAACTCCACCCTGATTACCTTGTTCATTTTTTAAAAATGCTTATTTTGAATGTTTTCTGCTTCATTTTGACATTGGAACACATCCCCTCACCTGCAGCTACTTCCTGTCACCTCAGAGCATCCTCTGTTAAATTCTGGAGCTGGCCCTGCCAGCCTGTCCAGCTCTCCACGACTCAGTAATAAATAGGTTTCCTAAAACTCTTTGAGAAACTAATGCATTGCTAGAACATGCCCCAATATTACTAAGGGTAAAATAGAAAATATTCTTCCACATTTATAACCATTTAGTAACTCTGAATACACCTAATGCAATGCTGTGCAGTAGAAGTTGTTAGGGAAATGCAAAGGTTTAAGACATAGTTTTATATGGTTTACATAAAGTTCAATATCTGTTATCTTGTTGAGCTTTTGAAATTTATCAAATGGCAATGTCAGCTTTATTCCACTTCCCCTTCAAATAAACCTACAATTCAGTGGAGTCTGAATTATAACAATTCACTGGATGATGAGGATAATAGATAATATGAGTAAATATATATACCAATGAACGCTGCGCTGCAATTGTTAATAATCTGCCTATAGGCCCTTTGGTAAGCTGCTTGAACTCCACACCGACCTGTTTCAAGCTTTGTAAGCACCAGCTGCCTGGTGACAAACCAAACTATCTGTTCACACAAACTTTGGTTAAACTCCTAGTCCCACTGTTAACTAGCCATGTAGTTTTGAGCCTTAACCTTGAACTTCAATTTCCTTATCTAGAAATTAAAGAGAGATGATATCTACCCTATAGGATTTGTGCAGAGATTTACATGAACTAATACTCGACACAGAACTTCATGAATAAATATCAGTACCCAGCCCCTTCCTAGCTGCTCTGTGTCAGTCTTCAGAGATCCAGAAGGAGGTGGTTAATGACTTGGTTTGGAAGGGTACAACAGACCAAGAAGAAGTTTATTCCTTGAAATCCAAATATCCACTCCTGTTAAAAAATGATGCATAGAGGGACCAGCAGTTAGCGTAATGGCTATGTCGCTGGACTCCCACGTAGTCGACTGCGCTTCGCGTCCCGGACTCGGTGGCTTAAAACTCACGCCGGGCGCGTGTGCGTGCATGCCCAAGATCCCAAGAGGAGAATGGAGGAGAAGGGATTGCGGCGTGGCTATCCCCCCTGGGGGGTGAATTCTCGCTTTCTGTCTCTCTCTGTCTGGCGAGGCACATGCCCTATAGCGAAATCTTCTCCAAAAAAAAGAAAAATGATGCATAGACATATGTAAGGCAATTAAACGATGATGATTAAAAACGATGCATAGACGTCTATAAGGAGATTAAGGGATTGTGGTTAAGAGAGATACACAAACATTTCTCATGGAGAAACTTCATCTTCTTACCCTAGGTTTGCACACCATTGTTATGAAACCTGTCCAGAGAAGACCTACAGTGAAGAATTGGAATGCAAACCATGTGCCACTAATTGTGGCAGCTGTGACCAGAATGAGTGCTATTGGTGTGAAGAGGGCTTCTTCCTTTGGGGTAAGCTAGAAAATGCAAAGAGAGAGTGAGGTTCTAGAGCTCCATCCAGTCAAGGCAATAGCCACAACTCAGATGATCATTTTCGGATGTGAGGGCCATCCGGCTGTGAGATCTGACACCCCACTGATCTCCGGGGTCGATTTGGCTGATCTGGCTGGCTAGGCGGGTGTCCCCTTCCTCCCTCACGGCTCCATATGTGTCCCTCCCATAGTTATGCGTTCGGTCAAGAACAACCGCTCCCATTAAAGAGGGCCATTCTTCGTTCTTCCTTCAAGGGTATTCAAGTAGCTGCACTTCCGGGCTAGAACCTCCAAACAAACTCTCGGATCATTGATTTCAGATTCTTTGTGTACTGGAGCCACTGGTCCAAAAAGAAATTTTAATTTGGTTTGGAAATAAACATTAGCCAGGACTACTTCCTTCTGCTTTTATCACTGAAGAATTGCTCATAGTTCACTAATAGTTCTCAACCAACTCCAAGTGATGGAAACAAGAGTGAATTGGGTAAAAAAGAGAAAGAGGCTGTGGGGGAGGGGATCTGAGGATAAACATTTTGGAATGAAGTCACCTGATTAGTCAGAACCATGACCCTTTTCTTGAGGCTTAATCCATGTGTTGTATTTTGGTGTATCGTAAGAGCCGAACAAGATCTTTGTCTTAAGTTTAAGTCAACTCATTCACTTTGATGGAAATACGTTTACAGTTAGAAGAGAAATACACTGTAAATCTTCTATTGAAGAACTGATAGCCCAGTGCTCTGGTCAGGTGGACAGCCCACCATAATCTTCGATTGTTCTCCACACAGATTTATTTTATTTGTAGTTTTTTAAGGACTCAAGGAGATAACTTTCTTTATTCAACATTCTTCACCCTTAAACCTGATAGGCAATTTAAATTTTCAACTGAAAGAGGACTTAAAGTGTTGGATTTATTTAAAATGCAGTTCTTGGTTGAAATAAGCTAGAGCCATCTTGTTTTGTTTTTGTTTTTGTTTTTGGAGAGGTTTTTGCTATAGGGCATATGCACTTGCCAGAAAGACAGAGAGAGAAAGAGAGACAGAGAGACAGAAAGCGAGAAATCACCCCTCGGGGAGATGGCCACGCCACAATCCCTTCTCCTCCATTTTCCTCTCAGAATCTTGGGCACGCACACACTCGCACCCGGCGTGAGTTTAAGCCACTGGGTCCGGCACTTGAACCACAGTCAACTACGTGGGAGTCCAGCAACATAGCCATTACGCCAACTGCTGGTCCCCCATCTTTGTTTCTTTAAAAACAAACACAAACCAAAAATGTCCCTAAGGCTCCCTGCAGCCTCTGGTTTTTTGTTTGTTTGTTTGTTTGTTTGTTTGTTTTTCCCCCCAAAGTTTCTGTATTTTTGCAGCAAGAGAGACAGAGGAAGACAGGCACTTCCAACAGGGTCTTAGTACCCACAGCCCATCCCAGACACCTCAGATCATGGACAGAGATGCAAGTTCCTAGCATGTGAAAAGAATAGGAAACCCTGAGACCTGAACCTGGGACCTTCCCATGTGGGCCTAGTTGCATTATCACTGCACCACCACGTGGCCCCCAGGGCTCTGTGGAGCTTAGCCTTGATAGTGCAGCAATCTAAGCTCCACACTTCCTCCCTGTGATCGGATGCAGGTGGCAGCTGTGTGAGGAAATGTGGCCCTGGCTTCTACGGCGATCGAGGAACGGGAGAATGTGAGCCCTGCCACCCAGCCTGCGAGACCTGCACTGGCCTTGGCCACGACGACTGTAGCAGCTGCCCAGCAGGACTGCAGCTGCTGCACGGGATGTGTGGACGTCCTGCCCAGCCCCAGGTGGAAAGCAGCTTCTGGAATGGTATGTGCCTCCCAAGGAGAGATCGCAGGGGTCCAACCACCTACTCTGCTTCCCTCCCTCTTTGATCCTTATTTTAGAGTTATCTAAGAAAGAAAGGCTGGGCAGAGAAACAAGAATTTGGAGTATCAAATTTGGGCCATTCCCAGGGCTTCTCTGCTGCGGGCAGAGAAGGAAGCTGTGGCTGGCATTTGGCCAGCAGGGGGAGCCCAAAGGTCAAGTCTGATTAGTCTGGCTACTTGAGTTTCTAGCTGGGTGAAGTAGGCCAGGGGCAGGTAAAGGGATCTGTTTGGGAAAATGGCTCACTATTTTCTCAAAACTGCCAGAATGACTTCTATCACAGGAATTTTCTTTTATTATATTAAAAAATATACCCATAGCGTTGGCTTTTATTGTTAGACAAGAAAGAACTGTTTTAATGTACTGAAACTTAACGCTGAAACAAATGATCTTTTTGGAAGAATTATTAGACCCAGCCATCATTCAGATTTGCCTTTTAACAGTTGCCCTTTCCAGTTGCAGATGGAAAAAGGGGGACAGAGAAGTGTGGGTGCTTTGAATGTAACAGTAAAAATCTACAGGTATTCATTCCTCCCTGGTCTCTAGAATTGGCCTCTTCACTCTTGAGCCTCGGTGATAGGTTTCCTTACAAAGTAATTACAAACTTTCTATGACCTCTCCATGCCTACGCTGGTTCAAAAGCAAAAATCCTCTTCCTTCTGGAAAAAGTCTGCCTTATCTTCTACACAGGACATTCACAAAAATAATGAAATGCTCTCCATGTGATTTTGAGGCAAGGATTTGTTAAAAGGGTCATATCAGCGCTTAGGAAACAGCCACTGCACCATGGTCTGCACAGGACAAATCTCGTGGGGCTTGCAGGAGTGCTAGATCTGGGGCAGGAGAAGAGTGTGTCGCTGGGTTTGAGAGGAAGGCTGTGGCCAACCCAACTGCTGTCGACTAGGACGGTCTTGCACATGTGACTTAAAGGGCACTCCGAGACCATCACAAACTCAGCAGCCAAAGGCCACAGCGAACACTGGGCCTGTTTCAGAGACACCGCGAGGAAGAAAATGATCCAATCCAGATCAGGGTATCTTCCGTGAATTATTGCTGAATCAAAATGCTGAAAATGAGTTTGTCTGGCAGTCAGGCATTTCAGAGGCAGTGCGAGCCAAGAGCATGGCCCGGTGCTGGGTTTCTAGCTGGGAACATCTGTATTTTATCTGGTGTCCAGATGATGAAAAGGTCCAGGGAGCCCAGAGTCAGAGCAGACTTGATTCCCCCGATGATTACGCGTCCCTTCAACTGAACTACGCATTTTGCAAGCAGAAGTCAAGCTGCCATTGCTCCCTTTTGTTGAAGCACCACACCCACCCCTCCAAATTTCTACTATCACAACGTAATGTTTTTGAAGAGAAAAAGGAATTCGTCTGTTTGGGGGGTTCACACTAACAGGAGATTTGGAAAACACACGAGAATGTTTTCCATGGCTGGACGAAAGCAATAAGGTCAATGACATAGCTGCACTTTTCCATTCCTGTGATCTATGAAATAAGACATGCAGACCATTAACAAGAGAAAAAAACATTCATTCACTGAGCAAGGTAAGGCCGCGGCACGGCTTCTCCTGCACAATTTAAGCACTGAAATGGATAGTAAATGGGAAATGCATTCCATAAAGTCCTGGGAGGATTTGAGTCCATGGCTACATCTTTCTCCTGACTTCCTTTCCTTAAAAAACAAGGTCGGGAGTGCAATAAGAGAATAGAAGTTTCCAGAGAACACACACTAATTAGCCACACCTTTAGGGTGGTGGAGAGCAGATTGCAGTCATCCTGGGTCAATTTAGAGGAAGCCCAGACAAATGACCGAGTGTTTATGAGGGAATGTAGCTGCCTAGGTGGTGCCAGCAAGGTTTTTTGTTTATTTTTATCATTGTGGTGGTGGTTTCTTTGCTATAGGGTGTGTGTACTCACCAGAGACAGAGAAAGAAAAACCACCCCCCCAGGAGGGATGGCCACACCAAAAATCCCTTCTCCTCCGTTCTCTTGGGATCTTGGCCATGCACACACACCCAGTGTGATTTTCAAGCCGTTGGAGTCAGCCATGTGGACCCAGCACTTTAACCTCCGCACCACCTTCTAGTCCTTATTTGTTTGTTTGTTTGTTTGTTGTGGTTATTTTTTATTTAAAAAAAAAAATTCAGATTCCAGTGAGAAAGGTAAGATGACACAAACTTCAGGCCATTCCTTCACCCACAGTGCTCCCCAGTGGAAGTTGTATTTGTCTATTTGTCTCTGAAGACGACAGTCCACCCTCTGAGCCTATATCAGCCTGTTCTGGGAAAATACCACAGACATAAAATGCAGTCAGAGTTCCGCGAACCGC